CCACTCTTTTAAAAATAAGGGGAAAAAATTAAGATCTTGAAAGAGATGTTCTTCTGTCACTTTTTTTTTTTTTTAAATCAACAAAAGTGGGCACACAGAGACCTTCTGTTGCTGCTCTCATCCCCATGGCCCCAAAACAAACGTAAACAAATTTGTCAGTCTAAACAATTTTAATACTACAATTAATCTGGTTTCGATCTTGAACCCTTTGGAGCAAGTGAAAAGACACCAACTGGGTTCATGTTGGAACCAAGCAAACCCTTCCCCCTCCCCCTTAGTTTTAACAAAATTGCTTGTGTGCAATTAATCTCGTTTTTTTAATTAATTAATTAATAGAAACCCTACTTCAAAGAAACTAATTAATAAGTAGAAATCAGCATCTCAAATGCCTTATGGTGTCTTTGGTTTGGTTGATAAACCTTTACTTTTTTTCTTTAAGTAGCTGGTTAAAGAGTTTGAAAACATTAGTGTATAAGACTAGTATAAGTTGATTTTAAACTATTAAATAATAAATATTAATTATTTTATTAACTATCAACTAAAAAAATTATGATATTAATAATTGAAAATTTGATAATAACATCATTCTCAACTAATAATTATAGCATACTAACAATTAAACAAAACATGTCAATAACTTAAGTAACTTAATAATAATATCTTTTTAGTAGAAATAAAAGATCTTTAATTTAAGTTACATGATATGCGAATAGAATAAATTAAAGAGTGAATTAAAGAATAAAAGAAAATTATATTCTATTATACAATTCAAAATAAATAAGCAAATAAACTAGAACCTTAATTTCGACATCTAACATCAGTTTACATTAGTTTCCATGCCTCAATTCTGATGTAGTACTAGTAATCTTGCACAAATTTTGAGCCCAAACGTTTTTAATGAGCCAGAATGGAGATTTGAACATAGGCTTTGTTGTTTTGTTGGTTTTCTGGATTCAAATGGGTTTTGTTTGTTTGGAACTGTAAACAGACTTGGGTTTTGGATTCATCTAGTTTGGGCTCAAAACTAGGCTTGAGTCTATGTTTCTTCTTTTGTTTCTTCTTGCTTGATTGGGTCTTCCCTTTTAACCCCTTTTTCAAATTTTTTTTTGTTTATTAACTTTTCAATATTTCTGTAACCACTTTAAATTTTAATTAATTCGTAATTAAGTCACGTTAGATTTTATTAGAAAAAAACTTTTTTAATATTTATTTTTTTAATAACAATATTCAAATTTAAGATTTTACTTAAATAAAATTAAATTCCTTTCATTCGGACCAACAAATCGTTGATGTTTTTCAATTGATTCATCGGCTTTAGCATCCTACTCACTTTTTTTTTCTTTTTTTGAACTCAAGCATCCTACTCACTTTAGTTCTATCATTGTAAACACTTCGTAATTATATTCATATCCCTGCAACGCACAAAAACAACTACTTAATTTCCCTTTTCTATTATTATTATATCTTTTTGAGTTTTTGTAACACGGTACTTTAAAAATGTAATTAATACACCTTTTGATATATTAATTAGTATTAAAATAGATAAAATTTAATATTAATTTCATCATATATGTCATGTAAATCATTTTAACTAAAAATTTAATTAAATAAATATTAACTTTTATTTTTTTCAATAATAATTAATACTAAAAATATGTCCTTAACTTATACCTTTAAAATAAAGGTAAAAAAAAACCCTATCTTTTTTACTTTAATATTTTTTTTGTTTTTCATTAGTTTGATTTTTCTTTTTCTTTTTCTTTTTTTAATTTCTTTCATGGATGTTTCTAACTTATACTCTTAAGTGTAATTAATATACACTTTTTAACAATTAAGTCATGTGAAAAACTAAAAATGCTAACATTAATTCTAGTATTATTATCATGTGTATTGATTTAATTATATAATTTAATTTATTAATGACTAAAATTAAAGTCAAACTTTATTTTTTATTAAAAGTATTTTTCTATTAGTAACTTTTATATTTAAAAAGAGAATTTCACAGGTAAAAATTGAGTTATAAAACTGTCTAATAGAAGCCTAACCTTTTTTACAATTTTTACTAAGTTGTGAATAGTGCTGGCCCTAGCCATAGGAATCAATTAATTCATGACTTGCCAACCATGGAAGAAATGTTTCCTTGGTGAATGTGAAGAGATCAGGACACAAATTCCATGGGTTCGAGTACTGGATTTCACACAAGTGGCAAACAGGACTTACCCTCAAGGGTCAATATTGTTCCTTCAAGTATCTGCCCATCCCAAAATAAATGACCCAAGCCTGGAAACCAAAAAAATGCAAAAAAATTTCTTGAATGAAATAAGATTTTGGAGATTCATGTTCAAATTTATGACCTCTTTGGCAAGAAAAATTTATTGCATTCAATCCCCATAAGGATCTATTTAAAAAAAAAAAAATACAATAATTAGAAATAAAACACACTACAAGCACTGGATACCCCTCATACAAACGTATGTTTTTAATAAGCAGGTTGAGCTTGTTTTCCGGCCTGGTCTTATTTAGTCACTCAACCTTAGGTTTACTCAGTCCTGTCCTTGAAGGTGGTAGTTCTGATCTTCATCCCGGCACGCTTGATATAATCCAGAAAATGATGTTCTTTTGATTCTTTTCCATCATGATGATCCTTGTCTTTTCCACCATGATGATTTTTCTCAACTGGTGAGCTTTTTCCTTCCCCAACGTTGGACATAGTTCTTCTGAGCTTAGACTTTGCACGATTGATAAAATCTGTGAACCTGTCCTCAATATGTTGTACGGTTTTCTTCCCTGCAGCTTCCCGGCTACCTTGAGGCTGCCCATTTTTGGGAAATTCTCCCTGTTCAGACTGCCCATTTCCCTGCTTGGGAGCAGATTTCCCTGGAGCAATTTGATGCAGTTTTCCATCTTTCTGCTGGAGCTTGCTTGTGTGGTCAAACTCAATGGTAACAGCTTCAGGTGCTTCTCTGTTCTTAGGATTGGAGGCAATCCTGGCAGGTGAGGATTCTTGTTGCCTGCTTGTCCTAAAGAACTTCTCACAGCAGTTTCCTTGGTAATCTTCCATTTATGGCAAATGAAAAGGATTGAAGCAAAAGAAGTTTAGGAGATATGAATCAAGGAAAGTTGCACCATAAAATGGTGAAAGTATGACGGGTTTTATAGCCTATGTCGCACAATTAACTAACCCAATCTTACAAAAGAAGTTATTAATTATTCTACCATATCTTGACATCTTTTTGTTGTGTGTTGATAGGGTGATTAGCGTGAAGAATCCAAACAAGTTCTGAATAAAAGAGAAGAAAAGAGGCAAATCTACCATCTTTTTCCAAACTGATTTGAATATGATGCAAATGTAGTAGAATACAGCTTAGCCATGACAAGTATAGTAGTAAACCGAGAACGAAACAGCACCGTCTTTGGTGATTGTGAAGGTATCTGATTCAGTGTGACGTTTACGGTTGTGCGTCATGAAATAGATAATTACTTTCTTAAAAACTTGTAGTTTGAGTGTTTAATCTTTTAGTTAAACAGTTTTTAATATGATATCAGTACTTCTTTCACCTAAGAATATTGTTTATTTTTATTAATTAAAAAGCTTAGGGTGAAAAATTCTTATACAAGGTTTATCTGGTTTCAGCTATAAAAAGATGGAGGTGCCATATGGGTTCTCTCTTCTTCTTTTGTTGTTAGTTTGTTAATGCATAATTTTACAAAAGAAAATTCAACGAATACCGGCTGAACCAATGTCAAAATGTGCGCTGTCAATGTATATTGGGAAGGTGAAATTCCTTCCCATTGAGAGCAGTGTTTAGCTTTGAGCGATCGAATCCTGTCTTAATTGGTTGCTTTGGAACCTTTGCTGTTGGATTTTCCGATGCCTCCTGGATTTTGCACCCTTTGATTCCTTTTTTGATTTGCTTTTATTTTACCTTGGAATAAACCAGGTTGAAATGAGATCTCACAGTGTCTCGCCATTACGTTTTTCTAGTGCCACTTCCATAGGGAAAAAGATTCTGCCTGAAAGAATCATGTCCAAGTAATATATACCAAGTTTTCCTTGTCCAGAGCATCAGCTTCGATTTTCTTCTATGGGACAGATACCAAGGACAGCTATTAAACATGTTGCAAATCCATTAGTGGATGATAAAAATATAAGCTGAAAGACTTACATAAATTATGTGGCTCGAGAAATAAAATTACTGAATATAACACCATTATTTTCAACTGAAAATCAATGTATGGTTGATTTTAATTCAATGTAAATATCTTAACTAGAAGTGATAGCAACGAAAAAGGTAGTTGCCGATAGCGAAAGGGCATCTGAAATTTGAAAATAAAAATAAAAATTCATATATTACAATTTGAGTTACATATTAAAAATATAATTTATCTTATAAATTTATAAAAATATTTTTAATAAAATAATAAAAATATAATTTTATTAAGAATCTTTTAATAAATTTATAAAATTAACTGTCATTTTAACATATAATTTATCATATAAAACACTTTTTTTTTCAAAAACAATAATGGTCTACTCAAATAACATTGAATTACATAGAGCTGGAGAGGCTTATCAGTCCAAGGTAACATTAGGAGGAGGAAGAGAAAGAAATATTTACCATATGGCATTGGGAATAATGAAATTTACAAACGAGTTTTTTATTTTACAGTTTAAATTATATATCGTATTACAAAACAATTTTTCAGTTACAGATAACAATAATTGATTATTAGATTGTAAAACAATTTTTCGTTTACAGATACCAATAACTGATTAGCATTAGGAGCGTTTAAGGTTATATCAAATCTAGTTTCCTGTAAAAGAATCAAGATCTTGATTTCCATTTCTAATCAGCTATATTAATAAGGTCTCATAAGCATAATTTCAATGGCGGTAGACTTTCACCACCTGCTCAATCCGTTTACGGCAAAGAGGACAGCTGGTCAATGGTGAGGAGCATGACATACAACAGCACATGTGACCACACCTGCATATAATAACCAGTAAGCCATTGCCTCATTCCAAAAGGTGAAACTCTAAAAAGCACAAAAGGGTGAATATATCATAACTCCAGTTGGATATCCGAAGGAACACAACTTAACAGAAAGGCATATCTGAGATTAACCTTTTAGTCAATCAGTAACGGATAGCTACTTTGTACACTTGAGTAAATGGAAATGGTGTACTTACGGAACAAAAACACAATTATACTTCTGCTCAAGACATACAACACAGAGATCTGGCATAGCACGATCTCTCTTTGTTTCTGATCCATCTTTGGCTTTCCTATTTGCATCTGCAAAATTATTTCTAACATTCCAGTAACATACAAACCAACATTTAACAATAACTATTGTGTTGAAACTAGACATTGTACCTTCGTTATCCTGACCTAATCTCTTAGCTTCCGCAGCCAGAACCCTGAATTGACATTCACAAGTCAATTTGTTACATCTTCATTTTTCTTTTTGAAATAAGTTTTCAAATAAAAAGTAGGAACAAACAAACAGAAAAGGCCGGTATTGGTAAGACTATGGCATTAGTATACTATTATTACTTTTCAAAATTTTCATGATATAAAAACATTGAAAGCTCTGACGATTGGCCTCAAAGTGGTTTCCCAAACTTTGTACTAGCCACCTTGGAGCTTTACATACCATGAAGGCGCATAACAGAAGTTTAACATGCCACTAAAAAGCCTTTCACGATGAATATATTTGGTTGAAATTTGAAAAAGCACATTCTTCAAAAAAAGAACTAGCAGGTTGCTTTGCTAAAGGAATTTTCATAATCTTCAACAAATCAACTTAGAGGATACTAGAAATGGCCTTAGCCTGTCCGCCTTTAAGAAAACCATCTCCTAACCCCAGTCACCATACACTAACAATAAATTACAATAATTTCAGACCTCATCGACCCTCTTCGGCAGGAAATATAGTCCAATATCAGTTCACCAATCCAATTGTAATTATATTCTTCAATACCAAGCAGAGATCTTGCTATTAAGAGTAACAAGATCATAATCTATTTTACACTTGTATCTGAAGAGAAGCTATTATAATGAAACATACCTCCTCTGAAATTCCCATCTGCGCCTTCTCTCCTTTACATATTGTATCATACGATTGGTGATTAGAAATACACCAAACACCGTCAAACCAAAAGATGCATACTTGTACCACCTGATAAAAACTCCACTCTTATTTTGTTCAATTCTTTTCCAATAACCATCAAATTATTTTTGTAGAAAAGGGAAGAAAGAGATTGTGTCTGTCTTTGTCATAAACTGATAACTGACCTTGCCCACTTGCCAAGGTTGGAAATGAGTTCATCAATGGTTTTTGGAGATACATAGAAAGGCCCTTTATGGGGTTTCTGGATCCGAATTGTTCCAATGTCATCCTTGACAGCCTAACCACATATTTGCAACACAAAATAAGAATATGCCAAACAAATTAGTTATGTCATTCAAATACGTAGGTTCATCTGGTATGGATCTGTTTAGTCAGGATCCTCTACTTCAGAAATATTGACTTGAAACAGCATAATGAAAAAATACAACAATGAAAATGCATTGCATTTTTTTATGACCTATATTGGCAGATTACAATGTTAAAATCTACATGCATATCATTTAGGCTTAAAGTACAGGTTTATATCATAGCACAACAATTGCAAGTTAGCTCCTACCAATCAGATTAAGCATTTCAACATTCATTACATTTGATTTTTCACTTGCTAGTTGCTACCTTTAGTCAGCAAATACCGTTTGCAAGGTTGATAGCACACTTCTAGTTATAGAATAAGTAACTGGGATAATTAATCCAAACATACCTCACCAACAATGGTCAAAGAAGTACCAGTAGGAAGTACTCTTTCAATGCGCTTGACTCCAAGCATCTACGAACATAATCACCCAATTAAATAAGCTCAACCAAATGGTGTTAAGGGTTCATGTAAAAGTAGCAAACAAAAAATGAATTACCTTGAGACCTTGGAGATAGTCTAATGTTCCACGTACAAGCGATCGTCCTGATTCTTCAAAGACTTCACTTGCAACAGTTAGTGCAAAACCTGCAGCACCTCGGGCTCCTACTACATATGCACGGCCAGTCCCATCATCCTGGTGGAAAAGATATACAAAATATTCAACAAAAATGCTAATAACAATAGAGGACATTCATACGCAATATATCATATTTTTAAGCCTCCAAGTCCAAAAGTGCGAAAAAAAAAAAAAAAAAAAATATTGATGAGATAATATAAGTATAATAATCACGCTAAAGTTCAACAAAAATGCTAATAACAATAGAGGACATTCATACGCAATATATCATATTTTTAAGCCTCCAAGTCCAAAAGTGCGAAAAAAAAAAAAACCATCAATATTGATGAGATAATATAAGTATAATAATCACGCTAAAGTGAGACAGAAATATGTGCTTACGAGGTACCATGGAACCTCTTTACTCATAGCCAGCATTAAAGCAGAATCTTGTATCCAAGAACCAGAATCATTGTGTTTGAGAAAGTGTTGTTCAGCCTGAAAGATGTGCCAAGTGCCAACACAAATTCTCAGATTCCAGTAGAAATTTAAAAAAAAAAAAAAAATGCAATTCATTCCTACTTATACAAAAATGTATACCGTTTCCTCCGCTATAACAGCTCTTAAGCCGCTGTGCTCACAATTAATTGGCGTCTCAGAGCCAACTCTTCCAGAAATTGTAACAATTAAAGGAAGCACTTTACTTTCAATGTCGAGTATCTGCGCTGAATTGTCGAAGAAGACACCACTTCAAGATCAGAAATTAATTGCAAACAACAAGAACTTTCACTCTGAAAACATTTGATCCAATTTATCTATTGTAATATCATTGGCAGTGAATAAACCTTAAAAATTAGGAAAGATCACAGCTTTCCCCAACAGGGTAGAAGAAGAAATAAAAATGGCCGTACCCAATTCCGTAAGCTGATTAACTCGAGTAACCGTCTTGAGAAGCTCAGCATCCCTGCGACATCAGAACATAGAAAGCAATGAGTACAAAATTCTCCGCCTTGAGTACATGCAAATTCAGAACCTAACCTGCCACTGCTCCGGCCAAGAAGATAGAGAGCAGCCGCGCTCAAGCAGCAACTGAGGCCGCCCCAAGGAAGCATATTTTGGGAAAAGCTCAAAAACGGGGATTAAAAAAAAAACCCTAATTTATAAACACATCAAGTAAGCGCCTCAGGTATGGAAAATTGAAGGAGGAAGATGGTAGAGAAATGGGTTGGTTGGGACAAGGAAAGGGAGGGGTCCGGTGAACGGAGAAAGGGAAAAAAAAAGATGCGAAGAGTGTAAGAGAGGGATCGGCGGCGAATTGTAAGATACGCAGAGAGGGTGGGTGCATGCGTGCGTGCCCGAATAACTGCTTATCTGATTTACTCAAGCTCCGAATTGCA